TGATTAGAGAAATAAAAATTAAAACAACTCTGAGGTACCATCTATCACATATCAGAAATAGCAAGGGCTGGAGGAGAAGAGGATGAAAATAGTACACTAATGAATTGCTGGTGGAGTAGTGAACTGGTCCAGCCATTCTGGAGAACAATTTGGAACTCTGTCCAAAGAGCTATAAAAGTATGCATACTTTTTGATCCAGCGATACCACTAGTAGGTCTGTCTCCCACAGAGATCAAAGAAAAAAGAATAAGACCTACAAAAATATGTATAGCAGCTCTTTTGTTGTGGCAAAGAGTAGGAAATTCAGGGGATATTCACAAATTAGGGAATGGCAGAACAAGGTATGGCAGATGATTGTGATGGAGTACTGTTATGCAGTAAGAAATGATGAAGGGGATGGTTTCAGAAAAAACATGGTAAGACCTATATGAACTGATTCAAAGTGAAATGAGAAAAACTGGGAGATCATTGTGCACAGTAACAACAATGTTGTAATGATGATGAACTGTGAAAGACATGGCTACTCTAATCAATACAGTGATTGAAGCTGAAAGACTCATGGTAAAAAAATGCTGTCCATTTCCAGAAAGAGAGAAATGGCTGAACACTGAATGCAAATTGAAGTATAATTTTCTTATTTTCTTTATTTTTTGCTTTTTTCAAATGTAACTATTATGGACATATGCTTAGCATGAGTTCATATGTATAATGGATATCATGGGGCATCTGGGTGGTACGGTAGATGGAATGCTGGGCCTGGACTCAGGAAGACTCATCTTCCTGAGTTAGAATCTAGCTTCAGATATTTATTAGCTATGTGTTCATGGGCTAGTCACTTAATCCTGTTTGCCTCAGTTTCTTCATCTGTAAAATGAGCTGGAGAAGGAAGTGGCAAACCACTCTATTACCATTGTTAAGAAAACTCAAAATGGGGTCACAAATATTCAAACATGACTGAAAATGACTGAGCAACAATAAAAATTGTATCATATTGCTTGTGTTCTCAGTGAATGAGGAAAGGAGTGGCAGGGGAGGGAGAAAATTTGGAGCTCAAAATTTTAAAAAAGTGTTAAAAATGAATAATTTTAAAAAACAACTTTATTCTTTTTTGCTTTGGCAATATAGCTTTTTCACAGTTGATAGAAGGAATGAATGAGCACTTCTGGTATTTCTGACTCCATTTTCTTCTGCTTTGTATCTAAACTATTTAAATTAATCAATAGAAATCTCCTAATGAGGAGATATAGATAAACACACACACACACATACACACACACATATATATATATATTATATGTGTGTGTGTGTGTGTGTGTGTGTATACAGACACGGACACACACACACACATATGAATAAACATGGCATAGTTTGTAGTGAAGTATGTGGTAGTAGCAGTGGAGGAGAGGGGAGAGGGTTAAGGAACAAAAGGCTTCATGTAGAATGATGGTGCTTGAACTGAGTCCCAAAGATAGTGATGGATTTTGTAAGGCAGAGGTGAGGAAAGAGTACATTCCAACACTAGTTGTAGGCCAATGGAAAGGTTCAGAGATAAGATTTGGAATGTAGTGTTTTAAGAAGAAAGAAAGCCAGTTTGGATGGATCTTAGAATACAGGAAAGGGAATATTGACTAAAAAGAAAGTTTGGAGCCATATTATGAAGGAGGGGCAGGGTAAGCAGAAGAGTTTATGGTTTACTTTAGACACAGTAGGGAACCGCTAGTGTTTTTTGAGTTGGGAAATGGCATGGCCAGAGCTATAATTAAGGAAAATCATGTTAGCAGCTTTGTAGAGGATGGGTTGGAGTTGGGGGAGACTTAAGTCAGGGAGAACCAGAGATATTCGATACAAAAAAATTACTGGTGAGCCACTTTTTATTTTATACTGTATAAGTAGTTTCACTAATTTTGTTCTTGTAAATTTTTTTAAAATGTAATGAGAATTATGTATTTTTTATTTTGTAATTTCCTCTATCACTTGCTTGTTGGAGAATTCTGCCTTTAGCTAAAGCTCTGCTTTTCTTTTATGGTATAACTTTTAATATTCAAACTGCATATCAATTGGTATAAGAATTTGGTCTAAAACAACTTTGAAGAACTTGAGAACCCCAATTAATGCAATGACCAATTATAATTCCAGACAATTGATGATGAAGGATATTACCTACCTCATGAGAGAGAGGTTATTTACTCAGGTTATAGGAAAAAAAGGCAAATGCAAGAATTTGTTTCTTGTGTATACATATTCCTAACAAAAATGTTTTTTCCCTCTCAGGTGTATGGTTAGTAGATGGGAGAGAAAATCAGTTTTTGTTAATTGAAAAAAATTTAATTTAAAAAACAAGATGTTGATCTAAATTAAATTTTTGTCAAAGTGCTTTCCATCTTTAAAGCAATTCCAGCAAAATAGGCAATAATTCCTGAAATAATTTATATTCTTTGATGTATTGATTACTAGATCATTGAATTCATTTGTTAATGATTCTTCCTTAGATTATTCTACTGATCTACTTTTTTTAAACCAATACCAAGTGGTTTTGATGACAGCCATTTAATTGTGTAATTTGAGGTCTGGAAGGACTATTCCGCCTTCATTCTGTTTTTTTTCAGATTCTATCTCTTTTGTTCTTTCTTCATGTGAATTTTGTTATTTTGTCTAGTTTTATAAATTATTGCTTTGGTAGTTTTATTGGTATGACATTAAATCAGTACTTTAGGTAATATTATTTTTCTTTTGTTAGCCCAGGTCAAATATGAACTGTTTTCTAATTAAGTCACATTTATATCAATCTTGAATCTGCTTTGGTAGATTGACCACTCAAGCTTAAACAACTTTTAAAAAATGTGAACATATTCAGTACAGTGCAGTACATTGCCAAAAAGTTTTTGGAAAAATATCTTTTTTAATCATTTTAAAGGATAACTGATTATCTTTCCTGGGCAGTTTGTTGCATGTCTGCCTACTCACAGGGAGATGAGCAAGATTAGGATTCACTACCTTCTTTGATCTTTGACAGGGTGAAAAACCCAGGAAATAATATCTTCCTTTTCCTCTTACTAGCTGTACCTTCCCAACTTTCTCTGTTACCCATATCTTCCTAACATCAGCCTTCAGAATGAAAAGGACAGGCAAGACTCCTTTTGTTGAAGTAACAAGATAATGTATCTTTTTTATTCTAGCCACCAGCATAGCGCCTGGCAAAAAAAAGACACTTAAAATACTTCTTGATTGGTTATGACAAACACATTTTCAATTTTTGTAAGAAATAAAATTATAGGTTTAAATATGTTGTATTAATGAGTTTAAAGAGCCATCTTAGAACCATCTGGATGCCTCAAAAACCAGTCTTTGAGAACCATTGAACTGTAATATTTTCCATGATCCCTAAGACTGCTGTTTTAGCATACCTATACTTAATGGTCCTTTAAAAAAAAGAGGGTAGTTCCAGATTATTTTCAATTATTGTGTCCTTATTTTCACAGAAGAGGAAATGTTAGATATGATTTAAACATATGCACATAAAAGCTTCTTTAATTATTATTGATAATATTAAAACATTTTTCCCTCCCTAAAAGAACACTTCTGTTCAAAAGATGCCTGCCCAAAGTGCTAGATTTTCTATTGTGGATTTTTTAAAATTGTGGATTTTTAAAATAAATTTTGAAGAATAAGAATTTGCCTCAGTAGACACTAGAGATTTTTCAGTTCAATAAAATATATATCCTTCTTCTTCTCTTCATGCACATGGCCACCACTATAGGTAAGGTCCTCATCATCTCTTGACTGTAATAGTAGCCTCTTAATTAATTTTTTGTCCTTAATCTTTTCTTTCTCTAATCTGTCTGCCCTCCAGATCTTGCTAGAGCATATATCTGACTATGTCATTCTCCAGATCAAAAACTTAGAGTAAAAATCTAACATTTTATATGAGATTTAACAAAAGCCTTCACTTCACATTGTCTTATCTTGAAGATTTATTCCACCAAGTAATATTCAGCCCAAATGATTTGTACGGAAATTTTCCAAGACAACCCTTATATTTCTTCTTTCTGTTTCTTCCTTTAATTCTTGTTTTCAGCTTATATTGTACTTTGGTAGTTTGGAATGTACATATTTAAAAGTAACTTGACAAATTAAAAATTTAGCTTTAAGTGGGCATTTATTTAGCCATTTCTCTTCTAAAACAAACATACAATCATATATAAACACCCAATGGTACAAAACTTAAAACTTTCAATTTATGTTTTGTGTATGGAAACTAGTTCTGCCAATGTTAATAGTCCCATGTTGATAAATCTATTTCCCAAAATATATCACCTTGAGTTATTGTGTGGTCTTCTGAAAGCTTTGGCCTACTTATTTAGATGATGTAAAATAAAACTACTTAGCACTTTTATTTTTTCTTGAACTTCTACAATCCTAAAAGGCTAGTAAACTGTAAAACTCTGCTTGGCATTCAAAGCCCTTTACAACCTAACCCCTTCCCGTATCTTTCCAGTCTTCTTATACTTTACTCCTTCCCACATACTCTTCAGTCCAGTAACACTGGCTTCCTTGCTATTCCTCGCATGATATAGTCTGGCTCTCCACATCTTCCCATTCTGAGCATTTTCAGTGACTGTCCCCTCCATGCCTGAAATTTTCTCCCTTATCATCTTCTCATCCTGACTTTCTTCAAGTCCCAGCTTTAAATCTTGACTTGTGCAAGAAACCTTTCCAAATCTCTCTTAACTAGTGCCTTGACTCTGTTGATTGTTTCCAATTTATTCTGTATATAGATTGTTTGTACACAGTTGTTTGCATGGTGTCTCCACCTTAAGATTGTGAGCTCCTTCAGAGCAGAGACTATCTTTTGTATTTTTTTTTTTTGTATCCCCAGTGCCTAGCACAGTGCCTGGCAAATAGTAGATACTTACTAAATATTTATTGACTGATTTGACTAACATTTACTTTTATGTTTCAATATGTTAAAAAGTAATACATTATTTTGAATTTTTAAATAGTGTGAATCTTGAAGAAGAGTTGGATCAACTTAAAGTTTTTAGATCTGTCGAAGTAGCTAAAATGCAAGAAGTGAATGCATATCTGGAACAAGAAAGAGAAGGTAAATTAATTATATTAAATGAACACACAAACACACACACACACACACACATACACACATGCACCTTTATTATCTACTCTTCCCTTTCATGAACCTTTTCTTCTTCAATGCATCTGTTTTCCTTACTCTTCTACCCATATCCTGTCCCTTTGTATGTGCTGTCTTTCTATCTCTCTTCTTCAGTTCCCTTTTTATTCAACTATATTTTCTTTTTCCTACAAGGCCCTTCTGAAGTTCCACCTTTTTCTTCAATTTTTCCTTGATGATCATAGCTCAAATCATTTTTTTTTCTGTAATTCCTATTGCACTTTTTGTTTCTACTAAATAGTACTACGTATTATCATATCTACCAATTCCTGTTTAAATGGTTTGTATCTGCCCATAGATTATAATTTCTTTGTGGATAAGAACTGTGTCTTGCACTCTTTTTTTGCTCCATATTACCAATAATTGTCCTTAATAGAATGAAGTTCATGGATGGTTATTTAATTAAATTGAAATATCATGTTTGTCTAATCTACCAGAGGACTTTGAGGAGGTAGACAAAAACACAGATGAAGGAAAACCAAAGAATGTAATTCATTTAGACTTACAAATTCTCATGGCAAGATTCTACAACAAAACAGTTTTTAAAAATTGAATCACTGTGGATTCATGGTAGTTTTTTAATATTGAGACTTGGCTCAGAGATAGAGAAAATGTAAATAGTGAGATACTATCAACATGTCGATGCATGGAGAAATAGGAATAGTGGAACCCATCAAGGATTGCTTCTGGAATGTATATGTTAATTTTTATATGATTTATCTGAAAACGGAGTTCACAATGCCTTATCCAGGTCTATATATGATATTAAGGGCTTATGGATAGTGAAATGCAGTAAGATTTTGTGAACCTGTCTGTAAGTGAGACAAGAAACAAAAATATTGCCGTAAGTAAGGGTTAAGTGATAAATTTAGAGCTATCTAATCCAAACTTTACTTACATGGTGATAGCCTTTTCCCAGTTAGGGGATGGGGAAGAGGAAAGTTAGCTTTAGAAAAAGGAAAGGAAATTCAGGAGAGGGCAGTGTCATGAAAGTCATATTAAGAGAAAGTCTGAAAATCAGTGGTGTTAAGCGTCAGAGGAAGGGAGGACAAAGGTAGGAAAGATAAGAATTACTTGTTCTGATTATAAGGACATCTTTAATGCTATTAGGAGCAATTTCACTGAAGTGATAGAGCAAAGAAGCCTTGTTGTGGAGAAAAAGTTGCATTGGGAAGAAAGAAAATGGGATAAATAATAGTAAAGGTTTAGAGACAATTTGGAATTATTTAAACCTTCTTTTGGTCTGAAAGAAAGGAGAAGATAGGATAATAATCCGTAAAGTGAACATTATTGCTTAAATGCTGAAGAAAATAAAAACAGTGGAAGCTGAGATTTGTATGTCACAGTTTTCTTTAGAGCAAGTTGATAATTCTGGTGCAGGTTCCGTCCTAGGTTACCCTGAGTCCGCCATTGAATAGCTCTTAAATCAGGAGTCAACAAGTATCCTTTAAGTTCAGAATAATATGGATCAAGACCTTAAGGATTAGACCTGCCATGCTCTCAGAAAAACCTGGAAAGACGTACATGAGCTGATGCAAAGTAAAATGTTCTGTGTACATAGTAACAGCAATATCGTAAGATGATCAGCTGTGAATGACTTAGGTATTCTTAGCAATACAGTGATCCAAGACAGTTCTAAAGGACTTATGATGAAAAATGCTATCCATCACTAGAGGAAGAACTAATGGTGTCTGAATATAGATTGAAGCATACAGTTTTTACTTTATTTTTCTGGATGGTTTTTTTTGGTCTATGTTTTCTTTCAAAACATGATATTATGGAAATGTTTTGCATGACTTTACATGTATTACCTATATCAAATTGCTTGCCTTTTCAACAGGGGTGGGATGGTGGGGAGTGAGGAAGGGAGAGAATTTGGAACTCAAAGTTTTAAAAACAAATGTTAAAAATTGTTTTTACATATAACTGGGGAAAAATAAAATTCTAAAGAATTAAATAAAAGTTTAAAAAAAAGAATTAGATTGTCCCTCAATAATAGGAATGAAGGACCCCCAAAGAAAATGCCATTCACTTTCATTCATTCTCTTACCTGTCATCCTCTATGTTGGCAAAGGTGAAACCTTTCCTTTGTTAAGGAGCACTTTATTTCTTTGCTTTCCTTGAGGTCGTTGTTGCCAGTTTTCGGTTTACAGTTTTACCACCCTTAGCCTAGAAATATTACATTTTAATGTAATAATTCCAAAGTTAAAATTTTCATTGTTACTATTCTACTTCTGATTCTAGAAGTCATTGTGGAATTATGATAATTCCCACAGATTCTTTACAATTAAAGCCTAACAAAACTAGCCCTGTATTGCTTCTCCTGACCTGCTTGCCTCATGTGAGTTCTCCATAAAATCATTTTTCAGGCAAACATATTTGACATTTGAACAATGTGGCTAGCCCATTGGAGTTACACTCTGCAGTAGAGTTTGAATGCTTGGCAGTTCAGCTTGAGAAAGGACCTCAGTGTCCAGTACGTTGTCCTGCCAGGTGATCTTAAGAATCTTTCTAAGGCAATTCAAAAGTAAGTGATTCAGTTTCCTGGTGTGGCACTGGTATACTGTCCAGGCATGCAACAATGAGGTCAGCACAAAAGCTCTGTAGACCTTCAGTTTAGTAGGCACCCTCATATCTCTTCTCTCTCACACTTTCTTTTGGAGCCTCTCAATCACTGAGCTAGCTCTGGCAATGCATGCATCAACCTCATAATCTATGTCTACATCCCTAGAAAGTATACTGCTAAGGTAAATGAACTTAATCTACAGCATTCAGAATTTCTCCATTTGCTGTAACTCATGGTTCTCCATATGGATGGTGTGGTGCTGGCTGGTGGAGAACCTCTGTTTTCTTGGTGTAATCGTCAGGCCAAAATTAGCACAAGCAGCAGAGAATTGATTCATATTCGGTTGCCTCTCAGCCTCAGAGGCTGCACTGAATGAACAATCATCTGTGAACAAAAAGCAGTGCATCAACTCACCCTCCACTTTATTTTTGGCTTGTAGCCTTTTTAAGTTAAATAATTTTCCATCGGTGTGGCAGCTGAACTTGATCAATTTTCATCCTCATCGAAGGCATCTGAAAACATTGCTGAAAACTTTCAAGGTCTCTCTGAAGAACTTTGGAGTTGACTGTGAGACATGAGAGACACTGGCACAGGACTGCCCAGCATGGTGTGCCCACATCAAAGAAGGCACTGTGCTCATTGAGCAAAGCAGAATTGCAGTAGCTCAAAAGAAACGGAAGCTTTTCAGATTTAGAGATATCACTACTCCAAATGTTCATATGGACCATTTGTGCCTAATCTATTATAGAGCCTTCCAAGCTCGTATTGGTCTGATCAGCCACAGTCATACTTATTGTGCCTTGACCCTGACACAGAGATGTTATTTTGGTTCTCTTTGGGCACAAAGGACAACAGTTAACTAACAGCAGAACCTAGTGCAGTATCTTGAGTACAGTAGACACAAATAAATACTTGTTGATTTGATTTGTAGAAATTAGGAAAGGGGGCTAATTTTGTTCCATAGATTTGACTCCAGATGATTGTGATGTAGCATTTATTTAATTCATTTACTTTTATAAGCAGTTTATTTTAACAAGCTTTCATTTAGTTGATTTTTAAAAATATGTAGTTTTATTTGTGGCTTTATTTGTTAGTGGTTCTGTAGCATCTTTTTTAATATATTTGACTATTGTTTTGTTCTCTGGCTTACTCACTTTGAACCCAGAAACATCTTGATTTTAAGACAAATAAGTGGTAAATACTGTACCCAGAAATACAGTAGGCTTCTAGATAGCTAAATATGCATAAAGATGAATATTATTTGCATATCATATTTGTGTATTGCTTTTAAAATGTTGTAAATATATTCAGTACCACTGTTAGGGGACTATAATTACAAACAAAACAAAAATAAAAACAAGGGAGCTAAGAGATTACTATCAAGGTAAAGGTACATATTCCCTAGATGAAGGGTTCTACCTTTTTTAGCTTTTGTTATTTGTAGAATAATGTTCCATTTATTTCACAAACACAGGAGTTTTAATTGAGTATGACATGTTCCAAAGACAAAAGAGATGCCTAATTCATTCTAACAAACTTATTAATCACTGTTTAAACCAAGATGATTGTTACTCTACGGTGAATAAAACTATTTTCTCATTCTCCTTTGTTGATAAATCAGAGTTTTCATTGACCTAAAATATCTAAATGTGTTTTAAAATTATATCTTTAAATAAATATTCTCAAGGAAACATTAATGCCTATTCCTATAGTATAATTCAATTTCATCTTTTCCCTTTATTTTTAAAAGATTTACTATTCCCTAAAATTATTGAATATGAAAAATTTTTTGACAACAGTGATTTACCTAATATGCAAATATAACAGTTTAATCGATTCTGGTCCCCTTTAATTTTAGTACTTAAAACAAAGATTTTCAGGGTTTTTTTTAACTTTGCCAATGATTTTGTTAATAGTAAATTTTGTATTTGTCAGGAAAAGGTTAGCTGCTTTTCGGCATGTTTTGTAGACCTTAGTTCACTTTGCCATTTGAGTTTCTAATTGTTATGAATTCACAGCTTTACAGGAAAATGACTTCTGTGATTTATCCTGTAGAGTACATGATCTTTCACTTAACAAAAGTGGTTTAAAGTTTCAGTCCATCCTAATTCTCTATTTGCTTTGTTGAGCAATCACTTTCATCCTCCTGGCAGGGAATAAGACCCAAAGAACAAAACTAGTAGTGACTATATAGATAAAATGGAAATGAATTCTGCTTTTAAAGCAAAGGGGGAATAGTCTATAAAAGAATGAAAATGAGAATAAAAGTATAACATCTTTAACCTGCAGATCTATTGTGCCTTTGAAAAGCTTGTACTGCAGGAAAAAAACCACACTGTGATTCTGCAAAGATCCATTATATAACACAAAGCTGTGGAAGAGGTCACTGTGCAACTACTGGCTGAAGACTTGACAAGAAAATAGACTACGTTATTCATAATTGAGAAACTTTAGAACTTATATACTGAAAATGACAGAGTGATATTGTAGCATAATATGTGGCATATGTTATTTATTCTCTGCCAGAATTACTCTATAAACTTTGTGAAGATCAGGAATTCAAGAATGATGCATCAGAGAAGAAGCAGAAACAAAAGTCAGATGAGACATTGCAGAAGGTATATTAATCTTTACTATAAAGCTAAGCAAGTTAAATTTAAATGTTAACATAAAGGATTATATTATTTTAAACTAGAGCTCATTAATTTAAACTTTTTTGGTAGTACTTAATTTCAGTTCACTGGCTTGACTTGCCAAAACTGGGTCAAAAATCAGTGAGTATGGAATAAATATGGAGACATTTGTGCTTATGTGTGGCTAGATTAAAATATTTTAGAGTGAAAGAAATGAAATCAATAGATATAAAAATTAAAATATAGCATTTTCTTACTATTTATAGTTTAGGAACAAGGATAGGGACTGAACCTGGAATTTCACTGGGATAGGAACTGAAACTCCCTCTACCAGTATAGGCCAGCACCTTCCTTGCAACTTAAAAGTCTTAGAGAGTTGCCCAAAGCACCAAGAGGTCAAGTGACTGACTCAGGGTGCCCACAGCTTGTATGTGTCTAAGAAAGGACTTTACCTCTTGTCTTCCCAGTGTTGAAGCTAACACTTGATCCACTGTAGCACATCACCTCGGGTATAGCTTAGATATTTAAACTGGTAAAGTTAGGTTTCTTTATGCTGTGCAATATTAAACGTGGAAACATCTAACTTCTAAGCCAAAGAAAAGTTATGCAGAGATTTTAGATTTCACATTATAATTTCATAATATGCTTTTTTGATTTTTAAATATAAAATATTTGCACAAAGTAAATTACTTTGAATTTTATAGTTAAAATCTACTCATAAATTCATCATTTACTTTTAATTTATAGTGAGCATCCTACTGACTATGTAGTAGGCCTAACATTAATAGGCAGATATTGTTATGAGCCTTATCATTTAACAAGTAAATATTATGATTCATATTTATGTTTTAAATCATATTTTGATACACAAGTATGTTATGTTAACAGATGTTCACTTAAAGGGGCTCAGTTGTATTTTGCCATATGTTTTGTTTTGAAATAAGAAAATGCATTCTTTAAACACACTTATTCTTTAAGCAGATTGTCATTTGACCAAACTGGGTTAACTTTGCTTCTTAGAAATCTTTCACACCAGGAGAACATATAATAATACAAGAACATATAATCTAAGATATTAGTATGGTTACATCTATTTTCCAATATTTTTGTACTAACTTGTAATAATTTACAGCAGATATGATCACATATACTTACAACACTTGCCATATGGTTAGGTAATGAAGGCTGTCATCTCGTTATTACTGAATGACAAACATTATGGTAAAATAATAACAGAGAACAAGAAATGCTCACGTTCATTTATCTTAAGGTAGAATGTGTAATTGAAATTATTTCATCACTAACATCTAGGATGTCACATAGTTTATAGTGCCTTATCATTTATGTTTAAAAAACATGAATTCGTTTGCTAGGTTCAGTATGATATGTATCTCTATGGATATATGGTACCACACTGCAGCCTTAGGGTATAATTCCAGGTGAATTTATTTTTTATTTTACCATAAATACCTTAAGTGTTAGAAATACAAAAATCAATTTTAAGTGCTAAATAACTAATAAGATTTTTTTTTTTAGTTTGGCCATGTTTCATATTAGCATGTTAACTTATCACTACTATAGTGGTAAATGAGATTAATGGAATGATCATAACTTTCTTTTAGATAGTTTCCCCTATTTTACAGTAGCACTATCTACTTTGACATAGCCATTAATGCCTTATAGAAGAAATCCTGATTGGTTCAGAAAGAAAAGAGCAGAATTTGTCAAGACTGAAGTATAGTTTTTATGTGGGAGAACTGAAATATGTTAATTATTGTATTTTTTAATCAGTAGAGTAACATTTTGAATTATGCTTTATCAAGTGATTTATTTTAAATAAAATTTTCTACGTCTTTCCATGATACTAATTTATTTAAAATTTTTAGTTAAGGAAAAATTGAACATGAAGTATTTAAAGAAAATACATATTTTGTTTGCTATCCATTTGGAATTTCTCTTTGATATTTCAGATGCTTTACCCCAGAAGCCAGGTGATAATTCTTTCAGTTCCTCCTTCATCCTTCTTTTCTAAAAAAATTGATATCTCCTTTACTTTTCATTGTATTTTGAAGCCAGTCTGTTGATAGCATATACTGGGAACTTCAGTGTGCACAACATTATATTAGAACCTATGAAATGTTCCTTGCTATCTTCACTACTAGTTCCCAACCTTCTCAAGTTTGAGGACCCCTTTATAACATCAAAAGTTTTCTCAGATCCCTATATGGTAATGCATGTAATATGAATATTAATTGATAAAGAAAATACAGAATGACAACACTAATTTGATTTTAGTAACCCTTTTAAATAAACTTACATTGTTAAATAATTTTAACATCTATATTCATGTTTGAGACATTCAGTCGATAGGATATGTGTTTCCTTATTTATTATCTTGAATTAGTTAATGAAATGGAAGTGGTATTGCTGAGTCAAAGGGTATAAACCACTATATAGATTCTTGAGGGATACTCTTTCAGTTTTGTTCTCTTTTCCATCCTCACCTTTTTATAAGAAAATTAAAGTAATACAATTATTAACTTTATATCCCTGTGTAGTTTTGGCTATCTATAACTTATTGTCAACTTATTTAAGTTTTATGAAGAAAGTTAAAAAATTTTTAATATACCCACCCTCGACTTTTAACTGGTGTGTAAAATGTCAATCAGTCCTTTACAAATTAAAAAAAAATTCCAATGTAATTAAACAAAATACTCGTTTTGTGGTTTGGAATTGTGATTTCATTGGTGTATGAGATTCCCAGTAAGAAAATACCTACCATGCAGTCTGTCACCTTCTCAGCGTCTTGTCTTGGACCAGGGGTTCTTAACCTTTTCTGTATGATGGACGTCTGTCAATCTGGGAAAATCTATGGATGACTTCTCAAAATAATTTTTAAAATGTATAAAATAAAATGTAGGTTATTAAAAAAATCAGTTATATTGAAAAAGTTATCAAAACATTTTTATAAAAAGTTATTGGACCTCAGAATCTCCCTCTTCAACAGTTGTCTGGGTTACAAAGAAGGAAAGGATCTTGTCCGATGTCACATGGGGAATATGTGAGAAGGGTGGGATTTGAACCTAGGTCAGCTCTCTATCTACTCTGCCCCCTTTTTTGTATCTTTAAATTTAATTTGACTTGCTTAGGTTCATGCTTAGAAAATGTCAGACTTAGGATCATAGATTTAGAACTGAAAGGGACCACAGATGCATAGCATCCAATTTTTTACATTGTACATATAAGGAAAGTCTGGCACAGAGGAATAAAGTGACTTGCCCAGTGTTACACATCCATTATGTCTTCCTGACTGAAAGACAAGGCCTCTTATATCATCAGCATTATCCACAAGCATTTATTAAACACCTCCTCTGTGCTAGGGACTGTGTCAACCACTGGGGAATACAAGGAATGTGAAAAACAGGGTCACTTTACTCAAGGATCCCACATTCTAATGGGGGACACATTCAAACAGTTATGTACAAACATGTTATATACAGTGTAAATGAGAGTAATCTCAGAAGGAAGGCAGTTAGTGGATAGAGTGGGGAGTTAAAGAGGAGATTCTTGCAGAAAGTAGGATTTGAGCTGACTCTTGAGGAAATCCAGGAGGTGAAAGGGAGAGCATTCCAGGGATGGGGACAGCCACTAAAAAGCCATAAAGTTAGAAGACAGAGTGTAATGTGTAAGGAATAGCAAGAAGGCCAGGGTCACTATATCCTAGAGTATATGGAAGGCAATCAAATAAAAAACTGTAAAGGTAGGAAAGAACTAGTTAGCAGAAGGCTTTACAGGCCATTTTGTATTTGATCTTGGAGATAATTGAGAGCCAGGCACAGGAGTTTATTGAGAGAGAGGAAAAGAAAGAGAGAGAGAGAGAGAGAGAGAGGGAGGGAGTGTGTGTGTGTGTTGGGAGGTGGGAAGGTATGACATGGTCAGACCTACACTTCAGAGAGGTTTTTCTCTATACCACATGGCCTTTTTTCCCAATTCCCTGTCAGCAATTCAAAGGATACAACATGATTGATTGAATGTAATACAAAAAATAATAAAAGAAGTAATATTATAGAAATTTGCTTATTAGAAATTATATCATATTCCTCATCACTAATGTAATTTTGGAATTACTATTGTTACCAGTATTACTGACTTCTCTGATTTCAGCCTATTAGTAAGTGACCAATTTTCTTTTGAGGGACATTATTTTAAAAACAAATTAGAAGCCAGTCTTTTTTTTTAAGCACTTAGTAATGGGAATTCTGGAAGTAGATATGTATTTTTTTGCACACGTTCTTTTTCACATATATACTAAGAGTAAACTTAGTGGCCTCTAAAATACTTGATTTAATGCATCTGAGTATATTTAGAATCCTCTAAAATACTTTGATAAATTCATTATACTTTCTTGGAGAGAGGCAATCACGATATAGTCAATAGAGAGTTGGCCTTAAATCCAGGAAGATGTGTATTGGCTGTGTGAACCTGAACAAGTTACTTAATTCTTAGTGATGTAAACAGCTGTCTAAAAGATAAAGAGAAGGTATTGACTTGCGATGATAGAGAGTTTCTTGTATCAATGAAATCACAAGTTTAGTCCTTACTCTTCTTTGAGAGATTAGTTTACATTATGTTGAACTGGCCTTTATTATTCTATTTTATACTTAATCATCTACTACTGATAAGAATAATGGTAAAAATTATATCCAGCCATGAAAAAATGTTCATTTCTTATTCTGTGGTAACCTAAGAAGTGAAGGGTTCAACCTCTTCAGACCTCAGCAAAGCATCACTAAATTGAACCAAAATACATTCAGCCTTTCTCATCTGTGATGGCAAGATAAATCTAAAATCATTTGCCTTTAATTACAAAATATTTGCATTGGCTTCTTCAAATATGGTTTTACCCAGCTTGCAATAATCAGGAGTTGATTTAATTATCTGGCAAAACTGAGACATTTTAGACAACCAATACCAACAATTTAGACAGATGACTTTGGGGAGGAAACCCTAGTTACCTAATTAATCTCAAATCTATCCTCTCTGTTTTAGCTATTAGACTAAACTTTCTGAATTCCAGACAAAAAGTAGCATTCTACAGTACCTAAACTAAGCCAAAATGAGAGGCATTGTACACCGTGGTTAGGACATTGAACTTTGTGCCAGAAAAACTTGGGTTCAGATCCTTAAACACATGTTAGCTGTGTCATCCTGGGAAAGCCACTTTATTTCTCCTTGCTTTTACTTTTCTCCTCTGTAAAATGAAGGAGATGGATTTGATGGTCTTGGAAGTTTCCCTCTACTCTCAATCCTTTGTCAGAGCAGAGTGAAAAGGAACTATCAAATGTGTCTTCCCAGCTAGAAAATATTTAAAAAGAAAATTATGTCCAAGACATGTTGTGCAGTATTAGAAAGAAGTAAAGATATTTGAGTACCTTTTAGAAAATTATTAAACATCATTGAAATCATCTTGATTTTTAAGATGTATTAAGTTTTGAATCCAATCATTTTGTCAGCTTTGCAGCCCATGACTTAAATGTTCAAATTCATGTAAGCTTTGTTTTATTTTTTGTGATTTATATCTATGCTTTCAAATTATTTTGCTTGTGTAGATAATTTTTCCATTGTAAAAATATTGTTCACAATGAATTGTATGTATAGCCAAAGTAGTATCAGTCTCAGAATATATTAGCAGTATCTATAAACTTACTTAGACTTCTGTTTCACTTTATCTAGAATGTTATTACCTTCTTTTACTATTTACTTACTCTTTACTCAACAGATGTAGCTTTTTTTATGTTAGAATGTATTCATCTATGTTCCCTTACAATTATTTGTTCATTAAGCAATCCAGATTGATTTTGACTGTGTGGTAAAGGTAACTTTATTTTCACAGACTAAACATTTTAAGTTACAATGGTCTCACAATTCTGCACTTAACAAGGAAAAAAATTAAACCATATGCACTTTTGTTTTAGGTTATTGTTTTGGAAAAACGATTGAAGGCTTTTGAGAAAAAGTCAAGGAAATTGAAAGAAGCAAATAAAAAGTTAACTAAAGAAAATGATGTAATGAAATCTTCCTGTAAACAGCAGCAAGATGATGCAAAAGCAAAAGCAAAAGAGCTAATCCATCTATGGAAAGAGAAGGAAGATGTGGAAAAAGACAGAACTATTCTTGAATTCAAGATCAGGGAGCTGGAGATGGAAATCAAAGCCCTACGAAAACAAGTAGTAGAAGTCAAGTCCCTGAAGGAACAAGTGACCGAAGTCAATTTTATGAAGGAAAAAATGGTGGCAATTGAGATGAGCAAAGATAATGAAAAACTAAGGAATCAGGTACAAGAAATGGAGGACACAAATCAAATTCAGAAAGTTCATAGAATTCAGGAGATGCAGGGAATGCAACGGATACAAGAAATGCAGCAGATGCAAGATATTCCACATATGAAGGAAATGCAGTCAGTACCACCACAACAGGCAATTCAGGCACCACTATGGCTACCCAAACAGCCTCTAACACAGCTACCAGCTCAACTACCAACACAGCTACCAGCTCAGCTGCCAGCACAGATACCAGCTCAGCTACCAACTCAGTTTCCGGCTCAGCTGCCTGCACAGTTTCCAGCCCAACTACCAACTCGGTCTCTAGTCCAGCCACCAGAACTGCTTCCAGTCAAAATGCAGCTACCAGCACAGTCTCTAGCCCAGCTACAAGAGGAGTCAGTTCACCGGTACCAGGGCAAAGCTGTGCCCAAGAAGCCCACTCTAAAAGTGGTGAGCACTGAACAATGTAGACAATGTAAGACAACTACCACCAAGGTTAAATTTAAAGCAGCCAAGAAAAAAGGTGCCACGGGACGTCCCCAGGCTTTTCTCAATCAGTCCATCAAGGTTATGAGCAATGTGTTTGAGAACTATAAGGACGACTGGGAGGATGTGAGTGAAAGCAGGTACGGCTCTCATTAACTTAGCTCTTTGGAGGGGACAGTGTGCATATGTAAAGCACTAGCAAATGGAGATTGAATTTCAACTACTGTCGATTTGGTATTCAGAAAAAATACTGTCAGATCCTTTGAAATATCTTGGGAGGTCTTGTTCTGAGCTTATTGACTGAAATTTGCATGCAAAATTAGCCACAACTGCATGAGTATTTGAATAGGTGCCAGGAAGCCCAAAAGAAGGCAATGCTTGATTTCTTCTAGTGATGCTATTTTCATGCAGTCATGAGGCTTGAAATTGACAGTTTGGCAGGTTGATTTAATTTGCTGGCCCTTTGCATATTCACCACTGACAGCTAAGGATTCCCAGGCAAGCCTACTAAGTCGGTTTAGTTATCTTGTGACATGCCGACCCAGGAGGAGAAACATTTTTTCCTTCTTAATTTAGTTAGATAAATTTTGAATGACCCATTTCAGCTTGTTACCAGATGTCTACAAGCTGTTTAACATCCTTTAAATTAAGAACCATCTTCACTAATTATTTCATGTATGTTTTATGCACAGTTGTTGTACTAACTTTAATTGAGTGATGGTCAAAAAATTAGTTCTTTAAAGTTATCATGGTGCAACTCTCCAGTCTTGAATCATATAGCCCCCAGTAAAAGGCAGCAGGAATGCACTAAAGATCTGTAATGTTTCCTTCTCTAATCTTTTTCCATATATGTATCAATCTATATCTATTTCTGCAAATGAGTAGTTTTTTTGTTATCTTTGTTCATCACTTTTATATTTTATCCTATACTCAACATGAATAACAGACTTGAACTCTAATTTTTCATACTTTTTCAAAGGAACCAGTTTTTAATACTATATATGTAGCTTTTTAAATGTACTTTAATTTTTTAAAACTTATTGCTAGTGTTGGGCAAATTTTATCAATTTTGGTATCATTATGGGCCATTTTGTTAAAATTGTTCTTTATAGAACCATAGATTACAGATTTGGATGTCATCTGGTTCAGCTTTCTATGTTCAGGAAGTGAAATATTACAAGAAACAAGACTTGTAACTTTCTGTGTGACTTTAGACAAGACAATTAATTTTCTTTTGCCTCAGTTTATTCCTGTGTAAAAGTAAGTTGGACTAGCTATTCTCTAAAGTCTCTTTAGCTCTGAATTCCATTATGAAGTGCACAATTCACAATTTTGCCTGTCTTCCTGGAAAAGCATTACATTTGAGATTGGGTGAGATCCTATCTTATTCACATCCCAACTAGGAGTAATCCTCCATCTTTAAGGTATATTTCAATTTTAATTGTTCATAATTCCTCAAGATTTTGGTACCTGTCCCTTCATTCTATAAATGATGTAGTTTATGTTTGTTTATATACATAGATACTGTACATGTAAATATGTACGTTCCTATTTTCATGCTTTACAGGAAAATTAATTAACTGCCTGCTCAGTTCTAATGCACATTTATATGTACACATACTTGAGTAAATGCATTACATTGTTCTTCCTTTTTTATTTGGACTTATGACTTGAGTTCTTTAGCAATGGAACTTGATTACACTATGAGAATTAAGTATTATATTTACTACTGCATGACAAAAGACTTCTGTAAAACACTCGGCTGCAAAGAATTCTCACACAATTAGATCCCAAAGTAGAACTTCATTGTCTTCAGAATATTCTCCTTCTTTCAGCTTTTTATAGTCGTTGAAACACAGTATGGGCAACCTGGTTGCACGGTAGATAGAGTGCTGGATCTGAAGTCAGAAAGATGAGTTCAAATCTGGCCTCGGATAGCCACTAGCATGTGACCTTAGGCAAGTTACTTAACTTCTCTCTGCCTCAGTTTCCTTATCCATAAAAGGAGGATAATAATTGTGCCTACCTTCTGGGATGGTTATGAGGATCAAATGAGATAATATTCGTTAAACGTTTAGCAAAAATTTAAACCTTACATAAATGTTAGACATTATTGTTAGCTATTATAAGATACCTTGAGCACTTCCTGTATGCCAGGCACTATGCTAAGTGCTAGGAATCTAAATACAAGTAAAAATAAAGACAGTCTCTTCCCTCGAGGAGCACAGGGCCCATTACGTGAAGATAGAGAGAAAAATGAACAATTCCTCCTTTTCAAAAAAGGAAAGAAGATTGATAGATAGGCTTGAGCATATGATATACAAATCAAAACCTATAGAAATAGTTTTAGAACCAGCAGACATCACTGTAACAACTGGTAATTAAGTTTCCTAACAGGTACCACTGGATTTGTCAAATGTAACTGAAAATGATTTAGCCCCACACAGAGCCTTTAAGACAGCCATAGTCCAAGAAGGGAATGAAAAGTTCTTCTATGGGTAGCATCCTCATGAACTCAGCCATGCCAATTTGTTTATGAAAATAAAGAGTTTTATTATAGTGACAGTTCAGGTCTAGGTCATTGTATCAGAAATCACATAATGGTTATCCTTAAGTCTTCCTTTAAATCTCAACTAAAATCTCACCTGAGGAAATCTTCTTCAACCCCTCTGAATTCCAGTGCTTTCCCTTTGTTAATCATTTCCTCTTTATCCTGAATTTAGCTTGCTTTATACATATTTGTTTGCATGTTGTTTTTCTCATTAGATTGTAAGCTCCTGGAGGTTAGGGACTATCTTTTGCCTCTTTTTATATCCTTATCACTTTGCACAGTGTCTTGAATGTAATAGGCATTTAGTAAGTATTTATTGATTTACTGATTGAAGACACCTAACTACATTAAAAATGCCTATTTTCCAGATTGTGATAAACAATTGGCTGACTAAACCAATCCCTAGAATTGGTTTGTTGGTATGTATCAGATTTCTCAGACAAACAGTGCATGAACATGGACTGGGTCAAGAATTGAAAAGGGAGAAGAGAATTGGTTGATTATCTTTCACAAATTAAACAGGGCTTTTATTTATATTATGCTTATCCTCGAGACAATGACCTGTTGTTTTAATAGCAGTAGTTTTCAGGTGATGTTGTATAGCTACAAGTAATGCAACACCACAGTCTCTGAAAAATTAAAATTGAGGTTTGCACAAGGGAAATGAAACTCTACGTGGTGGGCACAAGGGGGTCTCAGTACATTACTAACAAAGAATTGTGCAAGAGAAGCAGTGTAAAAGAAGTCATTTGAGAGATCTATGACTGCATGAAAATGTAGTTTAGTCATGTAGCAAGATCAAGGCATAAGTGATAGACAACTAACAGGATCTATTGATATCCACATGTCTTAAGAGCTAGAAGAAAGCCTTGATCATGTTTGACCCCACTGGAAGATTTGTGGAAGGATATGAACAAAGAGTTAAACAAGATTAGAAGGCATTTATGGGTTGTAGCCCGCATTATTAGAGTGAGTACCTATTTCAACAAGATAAAAATTTGTGTGTGTGTGTGTGTGTGTGTGTATGGGTGTGTGAGAGAGAGAGAGAGAGATGCTATTTGGCTGCATGAATCATGGAATTCCATAGTCTCTGAAGAATCAAAATTGCAATTGAGCCAATTAACAATGGAGGAAAATACCATGAATATAAGGGGGATGTGGCATCAAAATGTCATCTACATTGTATATGACCAGAAAGATTGTAGGCCAGTCATGTAACAGCCTCCTAGCTGTTCCAGAACAAGACACTCCATCTCTTGGCTCTGGGCATTTTCTCTGGTTGTGCCCCATGCCTGGAACGCTCTCCCTCTTCTGCTCTGACTACTAACCTATTTAACTTTCTTTAAGTCCCAGCTAAAATCTCACCCTCTACCAGAAGCTTCCTCAACCCCTCTTAATCCCCATACCTTCCCTCTGTTAATTATTTCCTATTTATTCTGTATATAACTTGCTTTGTATCTGTGTTTGTTCACATGTTGTCTCTCCATTAGATTGTAAGCTCAATGAGGGCAGGGATGGCTCTTGTCTTTTTTTTTTTTTTTTGTATCTTCAGCACATAGCACAGTTCCTGGCACCTAGTAGGCACTTAGTAAATGCTTGTTTATTGATTGATGTAATGAAAACAAGGGAAATAGATAGCCCATATTCTGTACTAATAAACATGTAATTTTATAAAAGCCCCTAGCAGTCTGTATAAAATTCTCACAGAGAATTTGTGGGATTCATTGGATAAGAATTATGGAAGATGAGAACCACAAGTGATAAATTTGGAAAGGACTTAATTTTCTATCTAGTACAATATCAAAAACTATTATAATAACTACATATTGTATGTTATATATAATACATTATCATATGTGTTATATATAATATATTATAATTGTGCATTGTATGTTACACATTATAATAACTATGATAACTGTTATCACAACTGTTATAACTAAATACTTTTGTAACTAAGTAATGACTATTAGCTGGCATGTACCCCAATGAAAATATTTTTTCTATCATACTTAATAAATGGTTTCTAACTAAAGCTCTGGGGAAAGGGACTCTACTACTTTGGTTGGCGTCCCATTTAATTTTTGACAATTCTGATTCTTAGGAGGCTTTCCCAAACATCAAACCTAAATCTGCCTTTCAGTGATTTCCACTCATGTTCCTAGTTCTGCTATCTGGGACCAAGCAAAATCAATCAAATCTCTCTTCCTCATTCTATCTCTTCATATGCTTGAAGATCATTGTTATGCTTTTTAAAGTATTGTCTCCAGTCCGAACATCCCCATTTCCTTCAGCTTTTAATCTGAACATTTGATTAGCCTTTATCCAAATTTTGGTAAAAATGTAAATCAGTGTAGAACCAAGGACAAATGCCAGAGGATTTTACATGAGAGAGCAAGTTGATATCAGGCTATTAATAGTAATTTTTTTGGGTTCCTCATTTAAAGATTCCAAATTTTTCCACCAGGATAACTCATGAAATGTTAAATCTAGGCAGAATAAATGTATAACATTCCCTTAATCCACCAGTCTAGACCCCTTTTTAATGATTTGGTAATGCTGAATGATGACTAGTTCTGTACTCTCACCTCTCACTTGTCCTTCCTCCCAGAAGCTGCTCTTCTTCTGTTCTGGGCAGTATTTTATCTGCTTTATATCGTAGAGACTTTTCCCTATCTTCCATCATCAGTCTTTCTTGACTACTAGGGTAATATGTATTAAGGTTTGGGGAATGTTAGTTTGAATCATTGTCTAGAAGAGAATCTCTGACTCCATGATGACACCACAGACAGACCACTAGATATCATGCTACTCATGCGGTGAGTAGCTCAGAGTAATGACCGAGTGTAGAATACAGGGTATTAATAGGCATTGTGGGAAAGTCCACATGCAATTAAATGATTCAACAAAATGGCCCTCTTTTTTTAAATAGGATTTACATGCTGGAGAGTTTTTTTTCCTTTTCCCCTCTTGTTTTTATTACTTTATTTGCCACATTTATTTTTGTTTTGAGGTGATGGCAAATTGAAAGGGCCAGTCATGCCTTTCATTAAGCCATCTTACTTGATGTCTAGGATCATGGTTTCTTGATCTACTCACCACATACTCGAACTCTGCTTTCTTTAGGCTAAAATTACCTAATCTGTAATCTGCAGTTTTATGTTTTATTCCTATTATATTTAGTTAGATTGTATACATACCATGTATTTCAGAGATGATTGGCAACCTTTTCATTGTCTTCTAAAAGCTTATGAGAAATAAATCAATGAAATTTGAATCATAGACTCAAACTCATTTAGAAGGCACCTTGGGGTTATTCTAGTTCAATGTAAACTTGAATAATCCAGATTCCATTTGAATTCCACTGCCATTGAGAAAGTCATGTTCTTTTCAGAGAGTCCTTCCAAATTTTGGACAACTTATATTTGATTGTTAGAATTTCTCAAACCAACAATAATTTGCACTAATTTGTAATATAATGATTTTAAAATTTGAAAATAGTGTTTATCACATGTATAATATCTACATATCACAAGATTTAATAAATTGATATATATATGTATATATATATTATTCATTTAGTAAATCTGCCTACATACCAATATAAACTACTTCAAGTTTAAATTAGTTTCACTTTCTTACTATCTCCTTTCATAGCAAAATCCACAAAGCCTCACAGTTTCCTTCTAGTAAGTTATTTCTTCTGCTTAGTTTAATATAGGCAACTCAACATTTGCATTACTATTATCCCTCCTTCAAAGTGGGTTTTAAATGGTAGGGCCCATCTGGCAGTTCATATACATCAGTAAGCCATCTCTGACAGGTTTTTCATATGACATTTCCACTAGTGTGCATCATTGTAAATTTGCCTGGGGGATATTAGAGATTTGAAAATAATAATTAACTTGTTTCCCTGTTGCTGTACTATCATTTCCTTTAATTAACACTACAGCTGTAGCCACATAGTAAAGCACAAAGTAAAATGGAGATTTTATAGTTATCTTGTGTTCTTGATTAATGTAGATGTCTACACTGTATAATTCTACCCTTCCTCACAGTATCCTTGGCACATTTATAGAGTTCAGTTCCTTTTAACTTTACTTAAAGTTGATAAAATTATTTAAAGACTCAACCTGAAAAGACATGCATCATTTTAATAAATTTTCTTCTTTGATTTTTCCTACCAAAGTGATTCTGAAGAACTAACCTGTCAAAACCTAGGAACAGTTATTGTGGAAACATCCCAAAAAGTCAGTGCAAGAAAAGATGAAGGGCAGCAAACAGAAGGACAAGCAGAAGAGAAAGAAATTACATTAGCTATGGGAGGTCCAATCAAAAAGGTATGTAATATAGCTTTATCTATTTATAAGACCTATTTTTAATAGTTTTTAAAACTTCTTTAAGTTGCCTATAACCTGACATCATGATTAATGATTTTAAGCTTAATTATGTTCCTAATTTAAAAATTCTTTTCAAAAGTCATGCAGTAAAGGTTAAAATTAGTTATGTCATATATCCTGGTAATACTTTATCTGTAAAGCATTAGGTAAAGACAAATTTGTCACATATTTTTATTAATAATTGAAAATAGTGGATAACATCATAAATTTTAATCTTAATTATATTTAATGTTTTCTACCTAATGAGCACCTCAGGTAAGGGTCCTCATTAGGTAGAGAACATTTGCACTCACAAAGTATCATTTTTAGCTTCATTTAAACATAAAACAATAAAAATTTATTCTTCTGTAGGCAACTTAGTTTATTTTGTTTCCTTTGGAGCAACTCAGCACTAACATGGACTTTTTTTTAATTTAAACACTACCTTTTCTCTCTATCCTTCCAATCAGTCAAGAAGCATTTTTAAAGCACTTACTATATGTCTCAGTGCTGGGTATGCCAAGAAAAGCAAAAAAAACCCCAAAAAACCCCAAACCAAAAAAACAACTTGGTCTCTGCCCTCTAGGGGCTCACTTCTAAAAACAGGAAGTGAAAAACATTTAAACTACAGCTTACGTAATAATAATTAATAATACTTTATGGATGCGCTACCATATCTGCCGTTTTAGCACAAACCGAAGTTGGAAGATAAATGTTTTCTTTTACCCTGAATACTAGATTGTTCTTTCACTAAAACTCTAGGAAGCTATGCTCTTTAAAGCTTTTTTATACCTGATTGTTTAGCTGACCCAGACTAACTTCTTGAGGGTTATCTTAGCATATCAAAAGGGAGCTTTTAAAATGTCTGCAATTGACCTGGGGTACAAAAAGTTTATAGTTGCTTAGAGCTGATAGACACCTTCATAGATCATCTAGGCTGTCTCACACTTCATCAAAAAATCCCTACTAGAGCAATGCTTTCAAATGACCGTTAGCTTCCAGCTGAACACCTCAAATAATGGGGACCTCACTACTTTCTATGGGAAACCTATTCCTTTTTTTGCACAGCTCTAATAATAATCAGATGAAACTTTTTACTGTTCAAATAAAAGGAAAATCTTTACTTTCCAACTTTGTTCTGCTTTGAGCTTTGCACGGGCCATCCCCACTATACCTGGAATGCACTCCCCTTTTATTTCCCCCTATTGTAGTCCCTCTGTTATTTTAAGATGTAGCCCAAGCACCATCTTCTGCATGCAACCTTTCTTGATGCCCCAACTGCTGGTGCCTTCCCTTCTAAACTATTTATACTTAATAGACTACTAGACTACTTCATATATAGTCATATTTATTAATGTTCCATTTATACTGTATATACATGTATATATGCATATGTGTACATATGTGTGTACTTGTTGTCTCCTCCATTTGACTGTGAACTCATTGCAAGTTTATTTAGTTACCTCCCATTTGGGCTCAGGAAAATAAATCTAATCCACTTTCCGTATGGCAACCCTTCAAATCTTTGAAGACAATGGGTATGGCCATGCTCCCCTCTTAAAATCTTCTCTGCTCAAGACTAAATATTTCTAGTTCCTTCAAATGTGCATCATAATTTGGAGTCCCAGAAAAATGCCTTATATGTAGTAGGTGGTACTTATATACTTGTTGTATTTAATTGAACTTGATCACAAATATAACCTGACACTTTGGAAGGCTCAACAAATATTATTTTCGTGCATGTTATTCCTGTCTACTAATTTGTGATTGTTGACAGATACTACTTCATTGAAGAATTTTGTCTTTGTAAAGAATATAGACAAATAATGTAGTAAATATAATTATTAAATATAATTAAGTCTTTTCAATTGACCTATACCCTATTTTATTTATTACATGGTATGACTATGGAATAATATGACTGCCTTTTTAAAACATGCATATTAGGATATATACATCCAAGAGAGTGTTGTATCCTTGAGGCTATATTTTGTACAGTAGAAAGAACTCTGTATTTGGAGTCAAAGGTCCTGGGTTTGAATTATACTCCTGTGCTCTGCCTTGAGTAAATTACCTAATGTTTCTGGCTTTCTCCTCTATGAAATGAAAGAGTTGGACTCCATTTTTAAATGCTATGATTTTAAAACATTTTTGGAGCTTTTCTCTTGAAATTTACTTTAGTCTGTGAGATATTCTTTTTAACCTTGGAGGATGAAATTGGTTTTTCTAAATTGCTCAAATTAATTTTCTGCTCAGTCTGGTGATTAATGGAGATAGCTGATTAAACTAGGAAGTACTGTTTTGAGTAAGAAATAATATGTGACCATACAATAAGTACTATTTCCTTGTGTGGATTTAAATGGACTCTGGGAATTGTGCCAAAAGGGTAACTCCAAAATTTTGTGGGCAATGGTAACATGATTGGAGAAGGTACAGAGTGTCACCGGGCAATTAGTTATTTTGAAGGAAAACATTCACTGGTTCCAAGATACCAAAAAAAAAATCAGCTTTGTGGCTTTATAGTAACACTTTATATTTAATCATTCATTTTGTTTATTCACTATCTATAAAGTGTATAATCCATTGTCACAATGAGAATTTATGTCAACATTCTTTATTTTATGGTATTCAATGGAACTGAATAAATTACAGGTAACATGCATATATCAGGTAATGTGCAGTTATTTTAAATCAGAGAGTGCCTTTTTTTCCTCTGCTAAGAATTGATCTTAAAAATAAATGTCATATCTTAAAGTTTTAAAATACCATTTTCCTGCTAATGACTTCCAAGAAATGCTTTTTTTTAATGACAGTATGTCTTCAAAAATGCCACCTAAACTAAAATACTTTACTCATTAATTTGTTCCAGGATTGAGGACTTCAGAGAATTTCTAATTTATGAGAAGTAATCTTTTTTACATTGAATTAATTTTTATGCCAAAGCAAAAAAGCAAAAAAAACTCCCCCCAAAATAAGCATCTAACCAAAATTTGCCATTTTTAAAAAATCCCACCACAGGAATACTCATTTCTGTTTTAAAGTTTTAAAACATGTTGACAACTTTGTATGTCTGTGTCCTTTTAAATTCATTTTTGGAAAGTAATATTTATTATTGAAGAGAAGTTTTAGAAAGCAAGGCAATATAGCTTTGTTTTATTTAATCTTAGTATGTTATCATCAAGGAGTCTGGAGAAAAGTAACTCCTTGAGGGATAGTCATTGATTTACCTACACACATTACTTTATCTTTTAATCTATGTGCACCAGACAGTAGTGGTTGAATTGCTTTCTTAATTTCTTTATGATTATTTTCCCCTTCTGTGCTGATAAAAATTTCAAGAATATATTATTTTCATAATTCATATGAGTTATCTTTTTCTGCATCTTGCATTGACATCTGAAAGTCTCATACTACCACTTGAAGACAATTTTTGATTATCCCTGGCATTCGAGTACAAAGGTAGCATGGGTAATTGAAATGAACAGATTATCTTTAAAAATCAGTTCAGTTAATAGTTTCAATCTCTTCCTCCTGCTGTGACTGGTAACTAAATAGAACAACTGAAGTTTCATTTCCTCTATTTGCCCAGGTCCACTGCTGACATCACAGTGAAATATCCAAGGAATGGTCAGGCAGGATTGAAAAGAGGAGTGATGGATTGATACACCCAGAATCAAAATAATTAAAAGTCTCACAATACATTTTATTTTAATACTTTTCACATTTGGTCCTACATTTCTTTAGAAGTCCTTAAAGTTATTTCTGGAAAATTGACTTGACCTTCTGCTTGCTAGTTGAATTTCTAGTTCTAACCAATAAATTCTGGTTCTGGGCAAGAACAACATACAGTTTTGCTAATTTTTTTTCATATTTATCTGATATGAATTTTATTTGCTCTTCTTATGTTTTAAGTAAGTAAAATTATTGTTTTTATTTTATCTAACTACAGTTTTTGAATACTAATCTAATTTGTATGAGGCTTTTAAATTCAGGATATCGATAATAAGAATTATAGAAGATCATTTTTAAAGAAGAAGAAAATTAGTGCTTTGAGGAGTGTATGTGCACCAGCCACTATTAAAGGTGAGAATGTATTGAAATTGCATAACTGTCATTTTAAATTTTACAGAAGACTAAAAACCATCATTTACCACATTGTTTGTTTAGTTAACAAAGAGAATGAGAACAATGTAAACTTCACGAAATCAGTATTACATGTACAAGTTGCATCCATGCAGCAGCAAATCAATATGCTACAGGATTTGAAAAAGTCTACTGAAGCTTCTGTTAAGGAATTAAAAGAAGCCAATGAAAAGCTTGCACAGCAACAACATATAACTGATCAAAAACTTCAGACCACCAAACAAACCATAAAGGTAAAGATAACTTTAGTGATAAGTTGTGTCATAAGATATTGACAAAACTGCATATTTTATTTACAATATTGTTTAGCTCACATTAATGCAATTTACATGTGTATAAATCTATTGTTCAGTAATTTAAGTAGTTGTACTACTAGATTTATTTAACAAAGGAATGCACACAAGAAGGAAGTTGCATGGGGAATAGGAGGATAAGTACTAATTAAAAAAGACAGTATGATTCTATTAGTTTTGAGTTTCATATTCTATTTTACATTTTTATTTTTTGGTCCTCTTCCATAGCAGTTTTGGTCTTTATTCTGTGTTACATCTGAGTTTATGAGTTAATTAATATACTGACATATTCAATTTTTGTATGAAAATAGTAATTTGAATCACATTAATTTTAACCTACATATCTAACTTAATTTGATCATATTAAAACGTACCTTGTTTGGAATTTAAAGGTCTTCAAAACTTCTCTCCTTACCTTTCCAATCTTGTACACTTATTTTCCTTTTCATGTCCTCTGTAATCTAACCCTACTGGCACACAACACTGTATCTTCCATCTCTATGCTTTTGCACAGACTGTCCATCATGCCTGAAATGTTCTTCATCCTCACATCTGTTTTCCTCTTAGAATTTCTGACTTGCTTTAAAACTCAAGTCCAACTGCCCCTTCATTCCTCTTCCTTCTCCTTAGCTGCTGGAGCCTTCCCCTCCATGTTTACTTGTATAGACCTATATCCATCCTGTTTCCCCTATTAGAACTTAAGTCCATGTGGTTAGGGACTGGGTATGTTATTCTTGTTTTTAATCAGAATTTAGCAGTGTCAGGCAACCCAGTAAGTGCTTGAGAAATATTTGTTGATTAACTGATCTATTCAATTGAGCTGATCCTTGTGCATATTCTAATTCAGTCATAAAGTAATTCAAGATTTTCCATTAAAGGAAAGAATTATTCCTATTAAATTCTCAGGGAAAGATACAAGAAAGTTGTTATTTTATATTAAAACAACCAGTAATTTGGTTTTACTCTGTTGTCCAGTATTTTGTTTATTATGACTAGGAAAAGCATGATTAACAAATCTCTTAATTGCATAGGATTAGTCTGGGACTAGCAGTGTCTATACCCTAGTTCTTTCCCACGTTTAAAACCATAGCTTATCTGTACCCAGGTCTCAAACTGTTACTGGAAGGTTAAGGACATGTCACCCAAGGTGGCCAGATGACCCACTGGTAGTAAGAGGGCTGGTCCCATGCTTGAAGTCTGGAGAGGAGTACTGGACAGGATCAAGTCCTGTGTCACTAGTTAGATGAGACAGTTAGAGTTACAGCCCCTTGGTGTTCCCAACTCTGTTTATAAGTCAGGGGAGCCTGATCCCACTCATAGTTGAAAGCTTACCATATTCTGCTTCAAAACTTCTGATCTGATGACAATTTTTCTTACTTTATTTTCACTTAAGGCCACAAGTCATTTGGTCTTACTTTCTCAAAACAAATGAAAAGTTTTACAAAATGAGATGACTGTTCGAAACATAGACATAAGTAGAATGTAATACAAAATATATGGCTTAGAAGAAGCTTGAGGTTTGAACAAAAGAACAATTTTCTGCATCCAAGGTGGAACAGAAGCATATTTTGTTTGCAAACTGAAAATTGGCAGGCAAGTCACTTGCCTTTGACCTACTTACAGCTTAATGCATTGTGATCAAAAAAAGATAAAAGAGTAGAGCAGGGCTTTCTGGTTGGCAGCAGCCATCAGGCAGGCTAACTGAGCCAGGATGGGGGCCTACAAACACATCCAGGAGCTGTGGAGGAAGATGCAGTCAGATGTCATGTGGTTCCTCCTGTGCATCGCCGCTGGCAGTACTGCCACCTGTCTGCCCTGTACTGAGCCCCCTGGTGCACCAAACCCAACAAAGCATGCAGCCTGGGGTTCAAGGCCAAGCAAGGTTATGTCATCTACCATATTCATGTTTGCCATGGTAGGTGAAAGCGTTCAATTCCCAAAGGTGTAACCTATGGTAAACCTGTGCATCATGGTGTCAATCAGATGAAGTTTGCCAGGAACCTTCAGTCTGTAGCAGAAGAACATGCTGGCTGCTACTGTGGGGCTCTAAGAATCTTGAACTCTTACTGATTGGGTGAAGATTCAACCTACAAATTCTTTGAGGTTATTAGTATTGATCCATTCCATAAAGCTATCAGATGAAACCTGGACACACAATGGATCACCAAGCCTGTGCACAAACACAGAGAGATGCATGGGCTTTCCTCAGCTGGCCAGAAGAGCAGGGGTCTTGGAAAGGGTCACAAATTCCACTATAGCATTGGAGGATCTCGTCATGCTGCTTAGAGAAGGTACAGTACTCTCCAACTTCATTGATACTGCTAATTAGTGCACATTAATTTGTAAACTTAAATTTTTGTTTATTGAACATAAACAAAATTTAGGATGGAAAAAAGAGTAGTGCAGGAATTGTCCCCTTCTCAGCAACCAATTCTAATTCTCTTTCTCACAACTAATTACTCTTGAGGTGCTGTACTAGTGCTCCCAAGTGGGAAATCCATGTTTTAAACAGAGATTTGGGCTACCCACCAAGTGAAAATTAAGGAGGTAAAAAACAAAAACAAAAACAAAAAACTAGTCTCCTCACAGCAGGGTTCATGTACATTTTAGAGAGCATGGTGGTTCAGCTGATCAGATGACTTGTAATCCACATTCTTCTTTGAACATGGGGTAGGATAGCTATCCAAAATGAATTAGGCCAGTCATTGGAAACCTCAACCTGTTACAAAATAAATGCCATACTTATGCTATTGTGCAATAAGTGGTCTTAAATTTCCATTAAAATCTCCACTGGGTTAGATATATTTTTCCTAGTTATGGAAATATACAAGAAATGGTGAAGAAAGGAAAATGACCTTTGAAAATGATATTACAATATTTTCACTTTAAAATTGACTACAAAACTAATTCAAACTATTTTACCAACTGTGAGATGGCCAAATAAATATGACTTGTAATTGACTAAAATTACATTTCTTTATAATATTCTGTCTACTTAAATAATGTAGTAAAATTCTACAAACATTGGTTTCTTCTCCTGATGAACTAGTATTTTTAAGGAACTTGAAATTGAAAAAAGTATACCAGTATTAGGTACAGACAGATTTATTCTTCAGTCAGTATTTTATTATAATATTTGAGACCTGTGACATTAAAAATGTAGACCATGATAAAACATAACAAATATTCATTTGTCAACATATTGAGTTTGGGGTATCTTTTGATCTCAATAAAACTTTTTAATCAAAGAAACATGAATTTGTTCTGAGAATTTGGTGATAGAGAGTTGAATTACATCATCCCCCTTTTTGCCTCTTGAAATTACCAATAGTAATTCAGGTACCTTTGTCCAGTCAAGTGTCTTTCTTTTAGTGCTAGAATAATTGTCCTTTTAAGACATAATAATATTGAAGTTATTCCCCACTATTGAATCAAGTTTCTGTTTATCAGCCAGTTATGAAGCTTTTCATTCAATGTCAGTTGTGCAATTATTTAATATTGATTCCAGTCTTTTACAGTGCCATACAGAATATAATCAAAGAATTTCTTAAAACTCAAGAAAGACATTATTTTAGGAATATTAGCTTTCCATGTCCTTTCAGTTAAAAAGCATTATGGTGACAGTGGTTTATCAGAACTTGATTTAGAACTTTTGTTATTAGTTATATTTGAACAACAAAACTTACTACATGTAGGGCAAATTCTTATAGAACAGTCAGTCTGTACTGCTTCATGGGCTAACATACTAAAAAAAAAGTTAAGCATTTCCTTTAACTTTAACAATAAGTTCTTATAATTTTAGACAAAAATGCCATACAATCCTACTAAAATTCTTTTAAAGTAATCTTAATCAAATGAATTCTTTGGGTTTGGATCAGTTTCTGTATTTTAAAAAAATGCTGCATTGGCTGAGTGATTTATGAAACAACATTTGTGACCTAGAGTAGAACTAGTTTACAGGCACAAAGTGATAACTTCAGAATAAGACAGATAAATGACTTGTTTTGTGATTCTCCAAAGCAAATATCAGAAATTTCCTTTAAAAAATCTATAGTACACTATCATATTTGTCCTTTTGTCTGATGTCATGAGTCATAACTAGCAATATTTTTAGCTAGTGTTAAGTGGTAGGGAGAAAGAGGTAAAAGAGAAGTTTGTATGGGCTACTGCATAGTAGACATGTGGCATGCCTTACCTGTTATGCATCCTAGTAAGGAGAAAGTGGGCACTTCACTGTTGAAGGACTAGACATTGCTGGGAAGAGAAAAGGAAGGAGATAGAGAGGCCATGGCCACTGGGTGGTAAGAACTACAGCAGAGGATACTGCTAGAAATTACCAATGAATGTGCAGCAGTGGAGGGTAAAAGAATGCTCTACTGTCAGGAGTGGAGTTGTACAGGGGAGGCAGGTAACCCATAGGTGGCCAGTCTGTAGGGAAAGAATCATGCTACTATTGACAGGGACAGAGCTGGGTAAGGCAGGCAGGTGAGAAAGTGACCTAAAGAAAAAAAAGGCAGAGGTCATTTTCCAAGGTGGGATGGATACGGGAAGAAATGCCTGTAGAAAAGTGCTGTTGGTGACTTCAAACTTTCCCACCTGGGATAAAGTCCCTTATGCCTCACCATAATTAAGTTCTGTTTTATAAGGAAGGAACTTAATATGTAATATATACTTGCAGAAATTAAGTACTTTTGTATCTGTGGTTTATATCTCAGATGATGATTGGAATAATAACTTGATTAAAACAGTATTGGAAAGATAATTATATATATATAATATGTATATATACTTTTGAAAATTTATTATAGTATGACCCATGTTTTTAAAAAAATTATCTTCTTATATAGAAGTTTCATCCATTCACTCACAATATTTCCTTTTTGTCATATCTGAGTTATAATATCAATTATAAGAATTTTTAACCATGATATAAGGCTTCC